CSSYWAARKYCCCYWAAAMCTTTTTTAGATTCAAGTTCTTTGCAAACTATGGGGACAGCTTTTCCCATCATGCTCTGTCGTACAAAATGGTGCCGATGTTCATCACCAATAAGAGTGAATCAAAACTAAAACAATGGAATAAATGTCCCAATCATTCAATTCGCGAAATTGTTCCAAGTCTAGGAAGGGTCAACCTTGTTTCCAGGATCTTTATCCCTTCGTTTGGGGTAAGTCGAACCTAACCCCAGTTCCTGGTAACGAGGTTGAGGAAGGGTGTGGTAACAAGGTTGAGGAAGGGTGTGGTAGCCGGTACAAGCTGTGCGTTTATCAAACCATTCCCATTCCGAAAAGGAGAATGTCAGTCTACCGTCTATTTCACAGGATTTGTTACTATTACAGAAGCCTAATGATGATATCACTAATATCAATACTGATATACCTGATTGAAAAAACGTCGGGTCACAAAAAATGATATAAATTAATACCGAAGTGCATTTTAAGTACTCAAAAACTCGAATCATAAYATTTGMCTAAACATGTTACATCATAGTATTACTCGTAGAGAAGGTTATTTCATTCAGTGCAGTGGCAATCTTTTGACTGAAATACTAGTATCATTGTAGCTTTTTCCCATGGTCCCCATCCTTCCTATCCTTGCAAACCTTTTGGATCCCGAATACGTTTATTTATTTAGGTTTAAACCACGTTGGTGTTGTTAGTGAKAATGAATAAGATGATTATCTGTTCTAATATCTTTTAAGTACAACAGTTCAATGATTATTGSATCTATTTCCATTCTACAATGTGCGCACTCGTTGTAAAACAGTGCGCATGTCCCAATCAATTTATACAATATATATTAGACAAAATTGCCATGCTGCGAAGTTTCGTTTCTTGCTATGAGAGCAATACTGAGCAACAGGACAAATCAACCATTMATTSAAGYACTATCAAAGAGCACACTGACTGCTGTAGAGGTGAGCGAAAAGTCCATCTGATTTCTTCAGCARTTTTTCTGGTTTATCAAATTCRGTAATGTGGCCATTATCCAATACCAAGACACGATCATAGTCAATAATTGTACTGAGTCGATATGGGATGGTGATGATTGTACTATTCTTAAACTTTGACCGTATCATCTCCTGTATCAATCGGTCTGTTTTGTAGTCAACGCCTGCYGTAGCTTCATCCATGACCAGTATTTTGGTATTGCACAGTAAAGCTCTCGCGATGGAAATCAGTTGTTTTTCGCTCGTACCAAGATTTGAGCTGCACTCGGCCATGTCTTGGTAGAGCTGCTTTGGGAGTGCTTCTACCCATGGACGGATATGTGTCTTCTCAAGAACTTCCCAGATCTGCCTGTCAGTGTATTTACWGAACGGATCAACATTGGAACGWACGTTRCCGCAGAATATCACAGGGTCCTTTGTGATGAYTGAAATCCCTCGACGCATGCGCTGTAAGTTCATTGCTTTGACGTCGATGTCGTCAATGAAAATCTGTCCCTTGATCTCCGGCATACGAAACATTGCATATATGAATGACGATTTGCCTGTYCCATTTCTTCCCACAATGCCTATCTTCTCWCGAGGGTGAATCAGGATACTCATTTCTTTTAAAGCCTTTTTCGCGCCATTTTTGTAGGTTAAAGAAACATTTTTGAAGCATATCTGACCGGCACTCGGCCAAGGCTCGTGTGGTTGAGTGGGGATATTGTAACCCGGTTCAGGTTCGACCTTACTTAARCCCATGACTCTTTGTACACAGTTCATGTAAGCGTCGACGTCAAAACATCTCTTGACTCCATATATTGACATCTCGCAAGCCAATTGGATAGTATATACCAGTGATATGCCAGTCAAAGCTGAGATTAAAAAGACAAACAAACTTCATGAGCAAATCAGTAGTGATAAGGAACCTCATATGAGGCCTTTTGTAAYAAGCGCACGTCAATTWCCAAATATAAATARCTGCAGCTCTAAAATACTGCATATATTTGCGCTGCATTCTKGCTGTAAACTAACAGTTCYCACCTGGTCCYAAGGTCATAAGATGTGCTCCAAACACAACTACGGCAAGGAATATTACACACAACAAATCCATCCTCAATCCTATCCAGGCCTCGCACGTTACTGATGAACAGACKGCTTGGTTGTATGAGTCTTGGTAGCTATATGTCAAACAAATCCTCTTTTATAATCAAAAAGAAACTTGAAGGGTTACTTTCTTAATGACATTTTTCTCCATTACMTCTTTCTTAATTATGGTTTCTCATTTACTTAATTCTCACTCACTCTTAAATGGATGATGATGATGTTGATGATGATTATGATAATGTTGATGATGATGATGATGCTGGTGGTGATAATGATGACAATTAATAATGATACCTGTACATCTCTTCTACAAATCCTTCTTGCATATCWTGAGTACGGATGACAAGATGGCCATCCATCATTTCTGCAAAGTGTTTGTTCACCGGCAATCGATTGGCTGATTCCAGTAGTTTTATTTGCCTGGAGGTCTTCAAATAAAACTCCCAATACGCAGCCAGTAGAATCACAATTGGAATAGCAAATAGAAATATCAAAGGGTTAAGAAATGAAGGCAACAAGACAGCGGATATCGTAAAGAGGACACCTTGAACTGCGTCYAGGAAWACTCCAGGAAGCAACTCAACTAATGAAGTCATATCTTTTGAGAAACATTGTAGCATGGYATCCTTGGAATTGTACTCAAAGTAGTCCGCAGGGCCCTTGAGAAYTGCTTCCATTAAATTTGTATGAAGCTGCTCTGCTGATTTCAAGATAGTTGAGATAAAGATTGTGGCGCGCAGAATGCCAAAAAGGAAAGAGGTTACCACAAGAGCGGCGTACGAGTACCACGTTTGGTCACTGGTCATTAAGTTGTAGTCGGTGTGACTTATGTACAGTAACCATACATCTGGTGCAATCAGGGCAGCTGTGAATAAGAGAAGTTTACAAAMTATTGCATGTCTTTATATATAAATAGTAATTTTAAATAAAGACCGCCAACACATGAAATTTCTCTTGCATCGTCACTTGATGATATATATAGTCATCAATATGAAATGTTGCAGTAATTATATTTTTAAAAGAAAGCAAAACTTGTTTTTTTTACGACTTTACCTTGAATAAAGAGAAACAAAATAGGGCACAAGAAGAGCAGAGGACGCCACATTCCAATTTTAAAGAAATTCCAATACGTCTGCCATCTGACGGTGGGAACAACATCGTTGTCTGACGGACTTTCATGRCATCCAACTTTCACTAAGTTATCTGACTCGTCATTGGAAGAGAGACTGTTTGTCTTTTCCAGTTCCCTTACTCGTCCACCATAGCCAACCCCATGAAGCTTTGCAGGCTTGAAGCCCAACATCGGTGACGTAACCTCATTTATAATCGTCCCTCCTCTCATTGTAAGGATCTGATCAGCYCGTTCAACATACTGCAATTGTCGGCTTACCATAATTCGAAGCCTTTTGGATAAAAGACCACAAATGCACTTATCAAAGACCTGCTCAGCGGTCTTGGGGTGAACAAATCGTAGTGGGTCGTCAAGKAGATAGATATCGGCATCRGCATATGCTGCACGTGCAAGACCAATGCGCGCTCTCTGTCCATTGGTCAGTTGTACTGCCTGWAATCGAGAAACATAAGATTACGAAGTGCGCAYGCARTATATTATCTAATCTTATTTTTTTTGACCGATCGAAGAAAGAGCATATTCCCAGAAGACGATTGCCAATATATTCAAATTTTTACATTGTAATCCACAAAATGTTTCTCATTCAAAGAGAATGATCTGACGTGCAAGTACAATAAGCTAAGATTAATAAAGATGGGTTTGAAGAAGACGTACGTCCGCGCATATCACTTGAGTCAGATGAAAGAATAAAAATTGACGAACTATACCTGTGAGCCAATCACTGTCAAGTCTCCATCCGGGAGCTTTTCCAAGAGTTTCTGCAGATTGCATGCGTTGATTACAGCTTGGTATCTAAAGGGATTGAAGCTTTTACCAAAGATGATGTTATTGCGAAATGATTCTGTAAAAATCATTGGATTCTGTGGAACATACGCAATCTTGCCATCATGGATGATTGTACCCTCTAGAGGAGGAAGCTCTCTTAARATGGCTAGAAGGAGCGATGTTTTGCCACACCCAGCGGGACCATTGATCAGCGTCAGCTCTTTAGCATTAGCTCGGAATGTAAGATTTGTAATCGCAGGAGGTCTGTTATCGCTATCCCAGTAGCAGGTCATGTTGTTACTRGATACAAAAGCTGTRAGAGCCTCTTCGTGTCCATTATTRTTCGCAAACTCATCRTTATAAGCACGGACGTCAAGTAAGGAGCCAGATTTYTTGATATTCGACTGTATTTTATTGACGTCCTCTGTAGATATGTATTCTGACATTTCTGTCTTCGTTAAATCAAGGAAAGATCTCGATTTGATTGATCTTTTTAATTTCGATGGCTTTGARATTGTTGACAAGGGTGGAGTCTCCTCCACGTGGAGGAATGYTTGAATTCGAGAAACTGAGGAGGAGTATTCGCTGATGTAGTTRATTGCSGAGGCAAAGAATGAAGACGATGATAGTCGAACCATTCTTATTAGTACTACAGTCAAGAAGATGGTGTAGACATTAAGACTGACGTTGGTCACCGCAAGAGTCGTCAAAGAYACAAAGACTGCAACTGTAGTACTGGTGTAGAGAAGTGTAGCAAACGAAACAAGGATTGCGCTTTTTTGACGCACAACTCTCATCTCTTTCCTGGAAAGAAAAAAAATACTGCATCAACTAACGAATCTGAATGGCTTGTCATTGGCCCAATGACTGGATTGAAACAGCCTTTTACTTCAGTATTCTTGTCTAGCTCACGGCTGCCTGATTGCGGTCCCACGCCGAGGGTCCGATATAGACATTTTCATTATCATACGTTTCCTCCCAATTTAGTCCACTTGTATACTAAGTATTTTCTATGTTGATTACAGCTTGGTATCTAAAGGGATTGAAGCTTTTACCAAAGATGATGTTATTGCGAAATGATTCTGATTTCTATGTCATTTTTCATTTAGATTCTTTCTATTTTTCTTTTTAATTTCTTTTTCTCTCATTTTCCTCATTTTCATTTCCCCTCGCAACCATTATAGTAATGATGTAGAGAACAAACTTCACAATAATTAGCTACTGACTTAGTATCTGCGACCTCACCTTCTGAACTTTAATGCTCTGTCCTTATACAACCATTCCCATGCGTTCATCTTTACACCTCTCAAATTACCGACAATGTTTCTAATAATCTCCATTCTCTTCTCCATCCAATGTCTTATGCTRGCTCTTAACTTCACACAGACATCCCACATTCCTATGTAATAACCAATCAGAGACATGATAATCACCATRCCAGACACCGCGGGGARGTCAAYTAGTTGCCATAGGAACGCCGTGACAGCAATGATCTCCAGCACGCCTTGCGCGACGAATCCCGTTTTGAGAAAGACTTGATGAAACCACTGGCAATCACGTGACACTAGATCTAAGACGTGATTGGTGGGGAAGCTTGACATCTCTCTTTGTCGCATTCTTAAAGCCTGYGAAAAGAAGGTATAATGAAATCCGACTTTAACGTGAAACAAAACTTTGCAGGAAATCGCTGAAGAAGAAGATTGGAAAATATAAGAAAAACTGAAATAAAGTCTCCCGCATTACCTTTTTATAAATCAAGCCAACGGTAGCAGACCTCCATCTCATGCCCAATAGCTGTGCTTTTGCATGAAACTGGTTCATAACCACGGCCCTTAGGAACGCACTAATACACAGCCCCCCTGAGTACACATAYACCATAGGMTCCATCCTGTAATCCTCTTCGATAAGCAATTGCGATAACAACAAACCAAGCAGTAGAGGTTGAAGAATATTACATGCTACACCAATGAATAAAGAGAACAACATCAACGCGTACTCGCTCCACGAGAGGATTTTCATCAACGCGCGAGTTAGCCGTGCTTCGTGACCTTTCAGGTAGGAATTCCTAACCTCTTCGCTCCAAGAGAAGTCAAGTTTTTCAGTTAGTTCCTTGGATCGATCTTCATCAAGCAAAGGATACAGATCGCACGCGTCCAGGATGCGCTTGCTGCCGATTTTCATGATACCATTCATCCAACAAAATGATAATCTGGACACCACTCCTGCTCTTTCTTTTGGGTTTTTCATGAACAAAGAATACTTCCATGTTTTCTCCATCTTAAACCCTAATCAAGGTGCTGAAGAAAAACAGTAAACAGTAAAACAGTAAACGACCTGCCTGGAAAATAACAGCAAACTTATTGAAATATTGCCAAGATATATAGCAGCCCTAAGGGGATTGCGTAGGCCCACTGCGCAGGCTAGGGAATATTTTGTAAGCAAAACAAAATTTCAGTAAGTGAAAAATCCAATTATGCAGTAGCGTTTCCAATTTGTGGGCTTTGCGCGGTCGTAATCTCACATCAGTGTCGATACGCTTGCACTCCATCCACGCATCAGKTTATTTCATACTATTATTAATTGATTAGTTAGTTGGTATTTAGTGGCATAGCTAGTCAGTTCGTTGGTAAGTTTACATTAGTTGGTAAGCTACTGTCTTTTTCTGCATTTTATACAATTCTGATGTTCCGATCGAGTTTTGTTTCTTTTTTTCCATCTTTTTTTTTTTTGCAGATGCAACCATATGTGAGCCGACATAGACAGATGTCTTTATCTGATAAATCTAAGAATGGGATTTTTTTGTTGGTTGGTAAAAAACGTCTAATAAATAGCAAAMAAATGAAAAATCTTCACTGATGATGACGTACTATGGTCACTGAATGGCATTGCACAGGTGACAAAACATCAAAGTYCTTCACTTCGCCAGATTCATAAACAGTTAATTGCAACCCATTTTTTGACAGTGGTATTAAGAGATAAAAGCTACATTTGACTGAGAATAAATAAATGAATTGTTCCTTCTGAAGTCTACATGGAATTCTACTGTGGAACTTATGGATTCTGTCTAAAGCATATGAAATTCAGCATGATCTCTAGGTTGCTATTCAATAAAATATGACCAAACTTCAATGATGAACCTAGTATATCATTACTGTGATATACTGTGATTTGCTGCAACAAACTCCTAATGATTCTCTCTGTCTGATATTTTCATAAATTACAACATAATTGTACCATTAAACTTACTGTATTTAGATTTTCTAGATCTCTTTTCTCATCTTGTAGAAACTTGACTCATGTTCGAATGTTTTTCAGTGCGCACGATGGCACGGTGTGTCAGGTAAATTCATCTCTTCATCAACTACCGACAGTGTATAGGTTTTGTATGTTTTATAATAACAACGCCTTCGATAGATTGACCCTTGTGGCGCGCCAATAAACGTTATACTCGGGAGTATGGTCAAGATTTCAGAACCCAGTCGAAGGGCGAGATTTTATGAAGCTTGTATGTAGTTTCTTTAAGATTCCTGAACAAAACTAGGAAGTAATTCCCATTTCCAAATTTTGCAAGCTGTGGAGTCAAATTAGTAARTGCGTGCAAAGATCTTTTGATACGTATCGGTGGAGATTTGCCTTGCGATAATTGCACACTGATTACCATCGATTATCAAGTAAAACAAAGCGATTTTCAAAGCAAAATACTTTTGAGCATAGATTCACTGAAAGCGCTGGTCGATGGTTTTGTTTAATGTCTGTATAATATAAATCGTCTTTGTAATTCATGAAAAGAAAGTCTGTTTATAATTGATGCACAGCTGGTCAGGTCTACTTGAAAGTAAATCAGATATCTTATTGCCCATTGGGACGCCTTATAATTATGTAATGATTTTAACTAGTAATGCGTCTTGAAAAAACTGAATGTATTGTTGTGTTTTTGTGCTGGACAATTTATACATATTCAATAAGGACGAAAACAAGAATAGACACCAATTTCTATTGTGCTGATATGAATCGATCGATGATCGATGTCAGCCGACCGACAGGAATTGTGGGATATCACTAAATTTTTTATATGTTACTTACTGGTTACTTACCAAGGCAATCGCTTGGGTGTACCATAAATCATAGCAAAGGACAGAAACAAAACTTTACATTTGTCRCATTTCATAAGGCAAAATGGAAAAAAAAACAGCAACAACAGCAACAACAGCGACAGCAGCAGCAACAACAAGAAAACGCGTTTAAAAAGATGCGCGCGAAAATTCAAAGTCATAGCCGAGGAGGAATGAGAACCACAACAATAAACTCGTACTCAATCCATCTCGGCCTCCAGAGAACACGCAGGTCGAGTTACATTTGGTGTATTTCTGGCGTTTGCTAGCACAAAACGACAATTTTAACTTTTGAGTCCATGCCGTTGATATGGATAAGCAAAATAGRCATCATAGGCTGAAATCGGAGAGTTCTGACGAGGAGGAAGACTTTGAAAGTGCAGACGAAGGAGAAGAAAACAACGACCCCTCTCCAAATCCGCCATCTTTGAAAGCCACGTCACCCGATGATATCAAAAATTCCACGTCGAAGACTCATGTAACTAAGGATACATTAACAGAGAAACCACCAAGTATGGCTGCAAACCAAGATGGCTCTCATGCAACCTCTGAATTAACAGAAAAATGCATTGAAAATGYTCATCCWTGTGAGGATGTCGAGACCCACGAAAAGRGCACCKTSGCTGAGTGCTCCAACCAAGAAATTTCGTCAGAATCTGGCGATAAAGTTGAACATGAAGTGGTAAATGAAGATGGAAGTCTACTAGATGACAAAGACGATTCAGAAATACAATTCAAAAACGACAAGAAAGAATGTAACGAAGAAATTTGTGAGCCAGAAAAACCCCARACAGCTAAAGACAATGATGGTACAGACCACAAAGAAGTCATTATTGAACGTCAACAAGATCAAACAAATCACGAAGAAAAAGTCGCCCAAGATGAGAAGGCTGCTTCTCAAAAACAATTGGATCAGAAGCAAGMCTCAGGGCCTTCTCTAGAGAGGTGAGAAGAATTTGTGTGTGCWCAAAATGGTCAATGTCTATCAAGACCATAATGCTTTGCTCAGTTTTTATGGTGTTGTATTTGTTTTGCAATGTGCAATATTTGATACAAAAACACTGCTAAAAACTTAGATAATTCTTGTTAGTAGATAAAACATTTTAATATTAAAGCTTGTTCTTTTTCTTTTAAATTGATTGATTTGTTTTTTGTTCATGTTCTAAATACAAGTTGTATATGATTTTCAGTCAAAAGATTGACACAGAACAACAAGAAACAACTAACCAAAGTTCCTGGGGATGGGGAAGCTGGGGTTCCWTGTTATCACAAGCTTCAGCAGGATTCTCATCAGTTCTTGAGACAGTCGAATCAWCTCTTGGTATCCCTGAACCTGAAGAGATTGCRAAAAAAGTTGCTGAAGATGAGAAGAGTRAGCAAACAACAGAGACAGTTATTGCAGAGGAGCCAAAAACCTCTGAACCCAAGACACAAGAACCATCACAGGATGATAGYGAAAAAGGTATTTATTGATAAGTACACCAAGCCAAGGAAAAAAGCTGTGATCTGATCAACTGGCAATGTTTAGTCAGTTTTGCTGGCATCTCATCTGTTCCTCTTATCTGCCATTATATTTTACCCTGTTTACCAATACAATTGGAATATACCTCCCAACAAAGTAGGCCTTATTATTGATTGTAGATCATGCCACAAGAGTTATTTGATGAAACATTACATTAAAGGATAACCAAATGCAAATCTACCTTGATTTTACGCATCATATTACAGCCCTTAAATTGTGTTGTGATATTCATCTTTCCATTATTATACAAAGATTCATACAAAGATTGTTATTTCATTCCAAGCAGACAGTGGCGAAGGTTCATTCTTTTCAGTTTTTGGAGTCCCAGGTTTGGGAAGTGTGGTGTCTGAAGGACTTGGAGCTTTGGAGTACATTGGTAAAAAGACAATGGATGTGATCTCTGATGGAGATCCTGGATTAAGGAACAAAAGAGAACAACTTATGCCTAAAGGCCCAACACTTTCTCAGGTAACTTTCCCAGTGATATTATACACTGTAATACTATAAAACTTATCACATTATTATTATTCTTGAAGATGTTGAGAGAAGCTAAGGAAGAAGCAGAGTACAAAGCAGCACATCCTGATTATAAAGAATCAATCATGAATGTCAAGTTGACTACAGAATTTGATACATATCAAGGATTAGCACACTTAGAAGCTTTAGAAATACTTTCAAAGGAGTCTGAAGTTAAGGTAAAGCAAAGTTAAATAAAAAAGCTAACTGTAGTAATGAAGGAGGGAGAAGATGGGATCTCATTATAAGACAGCCAATGACTTTTGAAAACAGAAAATAAATTATAAAGACAGAAGACACCAAAAAGCATGCTATGCTCTCTGAATAAACTGAACCTGAAAACACAGATCAATTTCAGAGATATAATTGCATTCCTTCCTCATTTCTAGCTTGCAGTGCTTAGTGAATTGTTTTCTTTCATTTAATAAGGTTGAAACACATATCATTGACTTAACAAAGGAGGAACTGGTTGCCATAAAACCCTTGCTGCGGACCATCCAGGAAGTTGTACAGATTGAAGATGAAGAAGATGAGAATGAAGAAGAACAAGACTTTGATACAGAAATCACTTCCAGCCTAGCTGAACTTCATCTTAGTCACGTACCAAACAAAACAAAAAGTGTGCATACTAGAATAAAGGAATGGATTGATTTATGTCTTACTGAACAAACTGAAAATCCTAAATGCAAAGATCATGTAGARATATACACTGCAGCCATYTCAGCATTAGCTGAGCTTACTGCATGCACTGTTGAACAGTTTCACAAGATTGCAGAAGTTATGCTTCTCCTTGCTGAGGAAAGTGATACGTCTGCTTTGGTAAGGGCACAATCTCTAAAGAAATTAACTCTGTGTGTTTGTAGAGAGGTGTCTAATTTGGCCAGYAAATATGCTGCAGCATTGAGTACGCTGTCTAAAGAAAGTGAGGATCCTGAGGCAGTGGAATCATTGATTACAACATTGTACTTAGAATCTAGTGATAGCAGTCGTTATGTACAGCATGCTTTTAAGCTGTTGTGTCCTGTTTTACAGCAGTCATCTTTGTCTGAAACAGACTCTAAAGCAAGTTGATTTTCGAAAAACATCCAGACAAACAACCCTGATAAACAAACAAGCAAAAAACACAATGCTACCCATTCAACAAACCAACTACAGACTTACAACCCTCTGCTTACAAAACCAAATATGTCAGAATGAGCAATGTCAAAAATCCAATGAAATAGATTTTACACTAATACACCCTAGTAGAGTACAAACACTAAAAGAGTGCAACACTTTCCACTATTTACTTAAAATAGTACTAATCAAGCAATAGAAAACAATAGAATTAGCATAGTTTAGCAGTATTTAGTGGTATTTATGTTGCACAGTTTTAGTGTTTGTACTCTATGCTCTAAGTATGCATTATTTGGATATGTTTCATGGGTTTAATGACCTCACTCTAGCTAATCTGAAGTAGAGAATAAGATTTATTGGTTGTAGCACAATCTGGATTGCAAAATGCAAGTGGGATTGTGCAATTTTAAATGATTAACAGCATTTATCTAAAATTTTATGGTAGGACTATTCAAGTTCTCACCAAAAGAATTGAAAGGATTCATTATCCTTTTATTGCCAAGGTGCTAAACAATAAAATGGTATATTTGTAATTTTTTTAAATGTATAAATTAAAATTGCATTATAATAAAGATAGTTATCTTCACTCAGTTCTGGACACATTAAATGGGAAATACCCAAATAAACCATTGGATAGGTAATGCAAGATATGTTTGGGATGAAACATGGCAGATTTCTTTTTTTCTCTCTTGAAACTGATCCCACAAAGCATTGCAAATCAAGTATAAGTGACGTAATATAAGGAGTTTATTGTGGTAAATGATGAATATAACAGATATGTCAGTTACCACTTATCAGCATCTTTCTACAACTTATTTTACATGCAGAATTTTGTTTTTCATATGGGAACTTAGTTTATGATGAAAACAAAAGATTTTTTACAGGTGAAGACTGAAGCATGCTGTGGGCTATATGGTAATCACAATTTTTGCAGTGTTGAAGTATCTTCCAGCTACCATACGAATGGAAAGATGATTTCTTAGACTTTTATCAATAAGTTTATATTGTATATGTTGAGATCTATAACTTAAGCATTTTTTGTCATTTTCTTTTATTTCATGTGGTGGCTCTGAAAAGAGCCGTTGTTTATGAAGATGATCAAGTCATCTAACCACCAAAACCGTACAGAGTACGTCCCTGGCGTTTCAAAGCGTAGACGACGTCCATGGCAGTGACGGTCTTTCTCTTTGCGTGCTCTGTGTAGGTGACAGCATCACGGATCACGTTTTCRAGGAAMACTTTRAGGACACCWCGGGTYTCTTCGTAGATCAAGCCAGAAATACGCTTGACTCCACCACGWCGAGCAAGACGACGRATGGCGGGCTTRGTGATACCYTGGATGTTATCACGAAGRATCTTACGRTGACGCTTGGCGCCTCCTTTTCCTAGACCTTTTCCTCCTTTGCCTCTTCCAGTCATTTTTCTAAAGACAACTTTGAAATAAGAATGATGGCTTTTTTACGAGAAAAATCTATATATGCATGCTATCGAACCTCTGAGAAAACGCAGTAAACTGGAAAATGATTGGTTKATTTTGTGACAATGTTATGCTAATCATTCAGTCCTGTGATCCTTGTTTTCGAACTCTCGTCATAAAACACAATGTTTGAGCGCAATTTTCTCATCCCGTAMATGGTCTTTCTTGCTAAAWRAAGGCCTAAGTCTGAAAAATATAAAGTTCTTTTAGACTTGTGACATTTYAACCAGCAAAMCTAGATGAAACAGCTGTATTTTTACAAAATTGTTTTTTAGAGCTTGACATTTTGATAGTTTGATAAATGGCGGGATCGAAAGTTAGCCAATCAGAGTCAAGAAAAGAAAAAATTATCCAATCACAACTCTAGTTTTGTTTGACCAATCAGACGAAAGCGCGCTTCATATAAATTTGTTTGATCTGCAATGCTGGATATCATTCGTCTCTTTTTTCGTGGAAGTTCGAATAAATTTGAAATGGCTCGTACAAAGCAAACAGCTCGTAAATCTACCGGAGGAAAAGCTCCCCGAAAACAACTGGCCACCAAGGCAGCACGTAAAAGTGCCCCAGCAACTGGTGGAGTCAAGAAACCTCATCGTTACAGACCTGGTACAGTCGCTCTTCGTGAGATCCGTCGTTACCAGAAGTCTACCGAGTTGCTGATCCGCAAGCTTCCTTTCCAACGTCTTGTCCGAGAAATCGCTCAAGATTTCAAAACTGACCTAAGGTTCCAGAGCTCAGCTGTCATGGCTCTTCAAGAGGCTAGYGAGGCTTACTTGGTTGGTCTGTTCGAGGACACAAACTTGTGCGCCATTCACGCCAAGCGAGTCACCATCATGCCCAAGGACATTCAACTTGCACGCCGAATCCGTGGCGAGAGGGCTTAAACTAGTTCTCAAACATACAAAAGGCTCTTTTAGGAGCCACCACATGCTACAAAAGTCAATGGTGTTTCATGCTTTCCCGCGCGTTTATCAGTTTGAATCAAAGCCACGAGGAGCAAGGCCGTCATCGGCTCCCTCGCAGTCCTCAATAATTCTAAATTATGTTGAAAGTATGCTTTATTTTTTTTCCAACTAAAAGCACTACTTTTTAGGTGAAATTTTATTAAAAAAACTCACTAGAGTTGACACATTTTTGGCGGGAAATATACTGAGGTCTTGGGCTTCCTGTATGTATACATGTATGCTTACCCATCGATGCATTTGGAAGGGAGTTGTTCAACTATACTTAGTAGAGTATATACTTAGAGTTTGAAGATTGGTATATGCAATATTTTTTTTAGCTGGCAAGTGCTCAAATTTGTGGGGAGTAAGAATGCAACAATTTGAGCGGACATTGATATGATTGATTCATACTAATAATTGAAAATAAAATATCACACATCAGGGAGACAAACAGTGCTACGTCTTGCACTTTATCACTGCACTGGGTGGTTTTCACTAAGAAACAAGTCATGTTTATGTTTGTTATTCACAAGCACGAGGACAAGTACACAATCAAGTGCAAGAAGTTGCAATTGTAGTTTTCGTTTTGAAATGCAAAATCAAGTGCAAGAAGCAGGAAAAATTTTAATAGAGTGAACGCATTTATCCATGAAATTGTACAAAATCAAACTATCACAAATTTGTACTAAAACTCCAACTGAAGCATTCTTTGTGAACACACTTTACTAAAGAACAAAATAGTATAGAGGCTAGTTAAATTTCACAGACGAAGTGCATTCACTCTATCTTACTCATGCTCTTACTATATCACTGCATGATCAGTTATCACTATGAAAATATGGCATATTCCATGAGCTTTCTATGCTTGCTCTTGCAGTGGAATTTAAGTCTTTGAAAAGTACTCATCTGACAGTAAAATTGATATCATTTCGATGTTGCTATCAGGGGCGGATTTAGGGGTAGGCCAAAACTCAAAAAGATCCTTGTCAATATCACTGAAAATGCTGGAAATTGCATTTATGACAGTTTAAAATTTAAATTTTTTTTTTGGGGGGAGCATGCCCCTGGACCCCCCTAAATATTCTTGCCTTTGGCGGTCAATGCAACACAAAACCATGTTTAAGTAACCAATCTCCTCTTTCAAAATATTCTGGATCTGCCCCCTGGATATTTRCATTGCTTGTGTGAAACAGGTGTAAGTTTAATTTCTGCACAGTGATTCCAGCTTGCATAGTGGCTCTGAGGGGGTGAGTGAAAAGGGAAAAAATCACCCCACCCATCCCCCCTATAGCTAGTACGCAGGCTACAGCAATTCATGCACAATAAGCAAGCCATGTTACTTTCAAAAGGCTTTATTTCATTTCTTCAAAGTCAAAAAGATACATGTACAATCCCATTTCTGAAAAATCAGGATAATTTCAGAGCTCAATAAACTACCGTTAATTATAATTATATACAGAGCATCACACATAATTATTCTAAAAAAAAAATATTTTGCAACATTTCAAATAACTATACTTTAAATGGTTTGCATAGGATCAAAATATATTGGTGAACAGCCATGAATCATAATGATCATCTTCACTCTAATTAAAGTGTGTAAAATTGTACATTACACTACACATATTTATTACTTTCACTAAAACACATGGAAGATCTGATTTTTGRATTTGCAATMMTTTCTTTGCAGTCAAATACATCTTYCTTTAACTGAGTGATTGTGGAAAGTTTGCATATTCACACGCAATAGTTGCACAATTTTACTATATATTACTCACATAWTAACCATTTTTTCAACTTATCGAACTCATCTAAACTAGTATACAAATAACATTGAGTGAAGTCAAAAAATTCCAACACACCAAAGAAAATCTTTTTCTAGTCAGATGAATAAATGAAAAAGTGCTTTTTCATTGAATTTGATAACTAAAGAGAGATTATCTAGCTACCAGTTTCTTTACCAATGATGGAAAATCAATAAGACTGGCCATAAACAATACAAAAGTATGGTGGGTTTCATGACTTCACTCTAACAAACAAAATGCACAACCCATACAAACAGGTGTTGTTCAAAAATATCTTTATTCAATCTTTTTKAAGATTCCACACAAGTACAATGACAGCAATAGGGATGTGGGGTTGGAGTCATACAACAAGACGACTCAAATACTTGATGAAAAAAAAAAAAACAAATATAGAAATGAATTCCAAGTGAATCACAATACTGAAAACATTTGCATTTTTTCTTCTCATTTTTTGTTTGTTTGTCCTTTTGGGAACTAATTGAATATGGAATGAYTGAAACGGTTTTAAAAACCAWAAGATTAACATGATACAAAACTGCCCTCTTGGAGCTAATCTTTGTCAGTAGTTTCAGTTTTAATAACACTTGTGCCTCCACCATCAATCTCATCTTTATTTTCTTCTTTTATTTTCACTTCTGAATTATTACTTTCAGTAACTTCTATTTKAACTTTAACTTCATTCATTGCTTTCATATCACTCTGAGTTGACACACCATTAGCATCCTTACAACTTTCACTACATTGAGSTTCACTACTTTCAGCACTCTCAGTCTTCACTACTGTTACTTGATCTTCTTTCTTCGCAGGGACTTCTACTGTGTTGTTGGCATCCTTTGGTTCATCTTCCTTCTTGTGCTCTATGGTTTCTTCCTTCACTTCAGGACGTTCATCTGGTTCTTCTTTACTCTCTGTGTTGTCTACATTTGCTTCTACCTCTGTTGCAGTTCCCTCCACATTCGACTATACATTATTTGTACATGTTCATAATGTGTAAGGATATAATGTTATGCATACCGCAACCAAAGGAAGGCAAAATGAAAAAGAAAATGGGGATTTTCTGTTAGGTTCAGCTAAWTTCTAACTAAAATTTAAATTCCCATTTTTAGAGTGATTTTCATAAAAGTCAGAATCAAGGTAAATTATGTTTCAAATCAGTTCMACACAGAAAATGATTTTTAAAGCTAAACCATAAATCACACTCAACTTCAAAAATTGATTAAGATACCTAGAAATGCATGGCAAACAAACATACTAAGACTCAATCTCAATATCAGAAAATATAATATTTTGCAATATATTTCCAATTTTTTGAACTGTAATTCTAAGGTTTAGTTTGAAGTGCCTGATAAACATTATGTTTTAGCAAAACAATTTGGCCATCTGCTTTACTGGAAACATAGTTATTTCACTTCATGGTAAAATTGAGAAAATCAGGATTTAAGAAAATGAAAAAGCATACTGTATCCCAGACAATAAATATAAAACTGATTGGCAAGTTTAGAGAAGAAAAAGGGTTATTTTGTTAAAAATGTGACAGTTAAAAACCAAAACATTTATAAGGAGTCTTAACAACTGTCATGATTATTCATTATATGGACCTGGTCCTTAGTAAACAACTATCACAAACTAACGTAACTGTCTGCCTTAAATATCCCCACTTWTACAGCTTATACATTGTTTAGAATATGYCATTTGAAAAGCAATCAAGAGAGARGAYTKTTAAATWAAGTACTAATTCAGATGYTAATTCTATTGGCACATTCAATACAATGTATAAACCACTGTATCATTTTATCTTGATTATTAAGAAACAAATTTAAAATTTCTTTGCAAATACAAATGAACAAATAGGAATAATTCTGGAATGCCTGATTGTTTTCAGTAAATCACAAGACATTGAAAAACTGTGGTTTGATGCACCTAACATCCTAAATATTCCAATACTGCACTGACTGCAATTCAGTTGCATATTAAAGTATTGCATACAATATTGCTCAATAGTGATTTATAGGCTCTTTGCAGGTATCCAKAAAACCAAATTAATGAGTTTTTATTGAGTTTTTGAATTTCTACACTTCAGGGGCTTTTCAAGTGCACTTGAAAACATATCAAATTTAAACAGTTTTCAAGGAGATTGCAGAGAAACACGGACACTGTATTCATCTAATTGAAAAAAGTTGGGTTCCAAAAGGTCACATCAGCAAAGCTAAGCTTAAAAAACAAACTAAATACAATTTCAATTTTTGAATTTCTTTTTTTGTCAAACCATATTTGAGGATAGGTTAACTTTCCTTGGAATAAGTTAAAAAAATCCTTTACATGCTTGTTGTTAGCTTCAGTGATCATGATCTCACCTTTTGCAACATTTTTTTTTCAATTAGGTGYATATAATAACAACACTAACACTTCAACATCATAATCATCAATAAAACAATTTCTCATCCAAAAACATTGATATTTTAATCAATTATGAACATTTATAATAACACAGGCATAAAGTAAAAATAAAAAACATGACATAACATAAAGAAAAAGGCTGGAAAAGTGCAGAGTTAAAAAAAAAGAGGTACAAAAGGAACTTAAAAAGACAGAAAGACATCTGAAACTCAAAGTTGTTAAGATAGGATACTAACTAGGATGGGATGGAAAACAAAACACAAAATATACAGTGTGAATATTAAGACTGAATCAAATGCAGGGTTACTTTTATCACAAATAATAGGTAATTTGTACAGGCAGGTTACCATAACCTTTCTCCAAAACCTTATCAAAAGAGCACTAAAACATAATCCAATTCATATTTTTCTGACTGTGCAATGTTTCCACTACACGAAAGAAAAAACCTGAACTAAGGATCAATCTATTGYAACTTGTGATCTAAGAAACAAGAACTTACTAGGTGCTTTTTCTGTTTTCACATAGTGCTGCTATGCATTATGCAGCCTGCCAGTGCAAGGCACCTATTACTATATTCATGATAAAGGTGGTTATATGGTGCTTGAAAAGAAACAGCAAGGAACATTCGAAGAAAAGCAATGATAGGGAAATATGAAAGTTTGCATACCTTAGCATCTTGGTAGCACATCTCGTGGTAGGTCTGTAGAAGTGAACACCACATCAATAATATTATTATTGACGCACTATTTATCAAATAAAACTAGAAATGCCCAGATTTCTGTTTTGATGTTGTTGCTTTTTTTCACTAAAACTATACTTTTAAAGCTTAATYTGCAGCAATTTCAAAGGCTTGGAACAAGAGAAAATTGATATATATTGCTAGAATATACAAGAAATCAAGAAATACATACACTTAAACTATCTAAACCAGGGCGTGGTACACCAGGGACTCATTCTTTCCCTTTGACATTATATAGTGGTTAGGTATAACATATTTAGCTTGCATTGCCACACAATCTTTTCATAATAATTTTCCTTTCTTTTAATGCCAAATGAAAAAAAAGAATTGAAATTTCAAAGGTGTTTTCTTTTTCAYGTCAATATTGWCAGAAGACAACAGGACAATCAGAATAAATAGAAAACTTGCCTTTCCACCAACTCTAATTGCTTCTTTGTAGTGCCATTCTTCTTGAGTTTCCTCCCAAAACTGCTCAAACTTTTCTTGACAAATATCACAAACCTGGAAGCAAATAAATTGAACGGGTTAAATTTTGGACCATGTTCTTTCCATTCATATCAAAAAGTTGAGTTACAGAGCCAAAACAAAGGCAAAGTTTTTTCACTATTCAATAAGTAAAGAGATATGAAAAAATTCASTAAAAATCATAATCACTTGGACATACCGATTCAGCTTCAGTATCTGTGGGCATTACTGGACAGCTGCCATCACCAACTTGTGTATTCACTGTAGTGCTCTCAGTGTTAGGTTTCTCGGCATCAAAAAAAGAACTATGGGCTGAAATCATAAAGCAATAGTATATTACATTAATAAAATGTTGTTTAGTTTATAAGCTGTAAAATAGAAATAACTGTATCACCTTTTTCTTCTGGATCTGTGATTTCTTCATATTCAAGCCAGTCCTACAAGCAGAAACATACAATAATGTTTTATAATCATACTGTATCAAAGGGGGTGAAATTGTTATTTAACTAACAAGRCTTGAATTTTCCAAGAATATTTTTCTATAAAAATGTGAATGTTGTCACGTTGTTTTGAACCAGACAACCAAACAACTTACTTTAAGTGGGATGAACCACTGTTTGTGGGCAATTCTTCTTCCATCTTTTTCTCTTCTATTTCTTCTAAAATGCCAGTCCAAATGTTCCCTATAGAAGGCTTCTGCTTCTCCATCAAACCGAAGACCACATGTWGAACACTGCTTCCCTCTATACAACAGACCAATGATTGCAGAATGCCGCCTGAAATAGAAAAACATAACCATTGTCCAGATTTTCCAATTGTTTTTCAGTTTGCTCTATTATTACTATGTGAATGTGGAATCACGAATTGAATATTATATTGATGACTTTCATAATGGCTAACACTAATTAGCATATTATTGTTAAATTCATAAACTTGACAAAAGAACACCCTCAGATGATAGATATCAAAGCTAAATATAAGTTCTGAAAGTTTCACAGATAAATATTAAATCCTCAAAACATTATTACAATGTGTATTACAATTAGTCATTATTAACCGTATTAACTGAGATCACAGTTTAGAGTGATCAAAATGAATGAGTATAAGCTGTCACCATATTTGGTTGATACTTTTTCTCAAGCCTGCAAAAAGCCTGCATCATCATATTACTGCTATTTTTGAAATTTCTTGTCACATGTACTGAATGCTGAATTTCCAATGGCTTTATATTACTTCAGAAAATAGCAACTTACTTTTTCAAATCATGAGGATCCAGTGATATTATTGGAATTACAGTAGAGGCTTCTCTAGATTTTTCAATCATTTCTTGCAGTTTTTGTAAATTCATAGGYGTCATTTTAGAAGYTTGAGATGCTKRAGGTCCTTGTATGGGGGCTGAGCTAGATGAAACTGGGTGTGGCACCATRGGGTGTGGTTTCATGAGGGGCTGTTGCAAAGGAGGGGTTGMTATCCTGGGTGGTGTATYAACCACTGGCTCTTCAGCTACYTTTATGATACCAACTTGTACAAGCCTTGAAAAAAGGTCATCTACAGTCCTTTTGTCCATTCGTGATGGCGTTGGTGGTGCACCAGATGGGATAGATGGTGGTGGTGTTTCTGTGCCTTAGCAAAAGACAAASATCATTCATTATGTACTATTATAAACCTTTTCAATAGTAATTCATTCTAAAAGTTTTAGTCAAACATGGAAGGACAATGATATAAACTAAAATAACTGAGTTCTACTGACTTACCATGTCTTTGTGGAGACCCTTGACCAGAACCTARYAAGTGTGGTKGACCATGTGGCCCAGCATTGCCTTGTTGTCCTGGTCCAATTATGATTTCTTGACGGCCAGCRTCTGAGATGTGATGGTCAGGATATAGACCTGGCTGTCCAGGAAGATCTGGTGCTTCTCCAAGGTGACGCACTGGAGATGACTCTCTRTGGAGATKAACAGAATGATGACCAGGTTCCATAGGGTGCATGCCAGGAAGAAGAGCTGGTTCCCCCTGGGAGATTACAGGAGGATGACCTGGTTGTCCACGTTGTTGGTGAAGATCTGGTTTTCCAGGAAGAGGGTGTGGTTCCCTATTRCGGATTAATAGACGAAGATCAGGYTCWCCTGGATGCTGTCCAGGACCTGGTTCTCCATGATGATGTGGTACAGGAAGACCTGGTTCTGGACCATAATCAGGATGTCGCCCAGTTTCAACTGGGTGTGGTCCATGGTGTATACCAGGTGCCCCAGCATGAGATCCAGGAATTTGATCTGATTCTGGGAGATGAGATAGAATTATTTCCCTGGGAGGGCCATGTATTCTAATAGATGTTCCTGGCTCTATAGGATGAGGCATAGGTCTAAGGTGTGGTGGCAWTTCATGSCCAGGGCCATCYRGTGGTCCCTGGAAATGTTCAACAGGTCTTCCATGTCCAAGTRGWGGTACTTCAGCATGTAGAGGCCTTCCTCTGCCAAGCAATGGTTCATCCTGGTGGATTCGCTCACCAAAATGTCGAGGATTCATAGCAGGATCTCTCCCTCTGGATCTCATTTCTAATTCATCAATATTTTGTGGRATAATGGTACCAGGTTTTTCTGGTGGAGGACGGCGTTGGCGAGAAGACCCAGGATCATGAGGAGGCAACCTTTCACTTTCTCTCCAAGGTCCACCATCAGGAGGGCCTGGTCTATCCATGGGTGGTCTACCCTCTCTGATATATGGGGGTTGATCTCTTCTTTTGTCATCCATTCTTGGATTTCTACTGGGCCTTRGTGGTCCATCAAAAACACCACCTGGATTGCTTCTTGGGGGTCCATCTCTTCTCCATGATTCATCTGTCCTTTGTTCCTTCCTGGGAGGACCATCCCTATGAAATTGCCGAGTACCCTCAACAGGTCGTCTCTTCCAAGACCTTCTATTTGATCGTCCTCCTCTACCACGTTGGTTTCTGGGACCAGGACCTAGAGATTCAGGACCTAGAGATTCAGGACCTAGAGGTTCAGGACCTGGAGGACCAGCAACTTCAGGGTTTTCATTCACATTTTGCTCAAGAATGTTTTCATCAGAATGTTGAATTTCCAATTCTTGCTGCCTTTGGAGTTCATAGAATTCTGCTAGTTTATCAATAAGTTCAATGTACTGTTCTTGGGATATGTGACCTGCTTCAACACGTCTTTTTGCTTCTTCCAGGATGACACTTTTGTGTTCTAAACTAAGTTCTTGTGGTATAGKTGCACTTTCTGAATCATTTTCATTCAAAACAAATTCACTGGACTGTAATTCAGCAACCTCTTCTTTAGAAAATAAAGGCCTTGGTTTAACAAGATCTGGAACTGTTTCAKTTTCAATGTCATCAAACTGTGCTTGAGGTGAATTGCGACTTTCAGGTTTTAAATGAACAGTCCTCTGTCTCATTTCGTCTTCTCTATGCCTTGGTCCTCTGTGGTACTGACCTTTTTCATCTCTAATAGGTTTACCGCTTCTATCTCTATCTCTTCCTCTGGTACCTCTTCCTCTATCACCTCTTCCTCTATCACCTCTTCCTCTATCACCCCTTCCTCTATCACCCCTTCCTCTGTCACCCCTTCCTCTGTCACCCCTTCCTCTGTCTCCTTTCCCTCGTTCCCCTCTTCCTCTATATCCTCTTGGCTCAAATTTTCCTTGATTATCTTGAAATACCATTCTTGTATCACTTGAATTTTCACTTCCATCAAAACTTCTACGTCGTTTGGGTTGCCTGTCATCTCTTGGATGTTTATCAATATCTAGTCTATCATCTCTATTCTTTGGATAACCATCAATTCGTTGAAATTTTGTTTCCCTCTCATTTGGTGGAGATTGACTTCTACTTCTTCTCTTAGAGTTATTATTTGACATAGTTGGACCATGAGTTCTTTCAAAATTCTTTTTAGTTCTATGATTATTAGATTGATCTCTCTGCTTTGGATCTAATGCYKGTCTATGGTTCACTTCATTGTCTTTCTGTCCTTGCTGTTGGGATCTGTTGTTGTTATTATGTGGTGCCTGTTCTTGGCGTTGCAATCTAGGGTCTCTACTAGTTGTTATGCTATGGCTTGAYGGGGTCATTTCTGCCTTTGTGGATACAGCTGTTATAGAGGTTTTCTAAGAGTAATATGGAAACATCTTATGAGTTAAAGAATCACACAGAAAAATGCTGTTTTTTTAAATAAAATATATTACAAATTTTCTATCAGTATGGACACTTTTGAAAAACGCACTGCGCATGTCCACAGCTTTCCTGCTGAAATCTGCCTAATTTTCTTTGTAAAGCAATTTTTGTGAAAGTTTTTCTACAATTTATAAGCTTGTTCACCGATATATAAGATTCATATTTCCATCAATCATTGTTCATGATAGGTCCGTCCTTTTAGTATGTAGTTTCTATTTTTATCTTGTCATTTCTATTTTGAGAAAATGAGGTTTTTCGTAGTGTTTTCTGTGTTGTCGCTGTAAATCGCCAGGCTCTCTGTTTACAGATTTCAAGACACAAGCGCCCACTGGCTGGAAAGCTGTGGGCATGCGCAGTGCGTTTTTCACCAGTGTCATCAGTATGGGTTAAAACTTTAAAACAATCATATTAGCAGCATGATTTTATTGAAATATATCTTTTACAAGTAGAAACAAGAGGAATGCTGCTGTTACCTCATTCAATTCAGCTGTTCCAAGTTCAGATTCAAGCCTTAAAGTTARCAAAAGTTGTTGCTGTTGGGTCATAAGTGCTTTTCTTTCTTGCTCTTGCTTTTTCAGAATCAAATCTCTCTTAAGTTGGTGTTCCTGGATTTCCTGTTCAGTAAGTCGAAGCTGTTCCTCTTGAAGTCTTTGTAGTTCAGCTAGTCTTTTTTGATGTTCCATAAGAACTTCTTTCTCATTTTCTTTAGATACATCTGGTRCTTTAACAGGAGCTGGTGGTGTTACTACTTCAGCCTAAAAACACATTAAAATCATAGTTTTTCAGTCATTCAATCGAGATCCAAAAAAGAAAAATAGGCAGCCACATAGACCTAATCGGCTAACACACTGCCATGTACATTTCCATCCAATTCAAATCCTGTGGGAAAAAGAACTTTGGTTTCTAAGAATTCAACTGTGAGATGAAAATACAATGAGCAATGAAACTTACTCCCAGGTGGTTTGAATTGGGTGGAAACATAGCAACGCATTAGCCAATTAAATTAATTCAATTGGTGGTCRATTCAAATTGAAAAGATGTGAAATTGCACTGAAATTTCAGCCATTTAACATTTCAAAACATGAGTATATTCTCAACCCTTAGATATAGTAAATTAAAGTACTTATTTAGAGTTGTTGGCATCAAACAGATGCCACAAATTGTGCATTTATTCAAGTGAATGCRGTACAATAACTTTGAAATCACAACCAACCTTTTTGAGGAATTTTGGATTAACATGAATGGAGGGTGATGGTGGTGGGACTGCAGTTATTGGCCATCCAGGRTCTAACTGATTGATATTAACATCTACATCATGTAATATCTTAGCTGAAAAGTATTGGGGCCAAGTATGCCGAAGCTTGTATAAATCTTTTCGAGTTTTCTCATCACCCTGCAAATGAGAAAAGCAAAAAAATCTTTATGGGAAAATATCATAAATTTGATAAGATAATTGGGAAAGTAACAACAGATTAACTGTGTTGATTTCTTCTTAAGTTTCCCCAAACTGTTTCTGAAGTTTGGCTTGGTTCAATCGTAAATATTTGAAGATAAATACCTTTTCAAAGACAGAGACAAACACTTTGACCAACACTTGAGCTATGAGATTCAAGTATATACCACCAACATTTTTGATAATAGAATCAAGAAGGTATAGAGAAGGAAGCTTGTGCTGCTGTGAAACCTGTGTTTAATAACCCAGAGTACATATATGAAATTACTGACTGACGGAATAGAGTAACACAACAGTTACTTATTAACAAACCATAATTTAYATGATCTACTTTTTGTATACACCTTTACCATAATGGCTTCCATCTAATTAACATAAATTTTAAATGTTTCGAATTTTAGTAAAAGTAATCTGATAATAACAACATATAAAAGTTTGAAATGAAAATATTAAATTCTGGTGAAGTTATAAGGGTTTAAAATATATCATAACATCGGAACGAGGCTATAAAGGCCTTGGTTGAAAATTACATACATTTCTTTGTATTTTCATTTCGCCATAACGTTGTTCTCATTTTATCCAGGGCTGTAAAACTTTTAAAAAATGTTTATTTCTGCTAGTTCATTTACATGACAATGGMAAAGTCACATATTTCCACATTCAGAAACAAATAGACAGACAGCCATTGGTGGAAAATGACATACATTTCTTTGTATTTTTATTTCAACGTAACTTTTTTCCTATTTTGTCCAYAGTTCTAAAACTTTCCAAATTTTCTTATTTGGAAAAGTGTCCAAAACATTGTCAACAATAGACATTTCACACAAATATYGCACAATACTTGGCTGAAATAGYCTCCTTCCTGTCATGTCAACTTTTGGGAGGGACAGGAAGCCCGACAAAAAGGGAGGCTGCGAAGGARACTATGGCTGAAAGGGATAATAATTTCAATTTGTTTCATTGGTCAATTAAGATTTTTCAACTAGGAGGGTATTTCACTTTTCTCATTTATCTGTTACTTGAAAAGTATCTTTCTAGTAAAAACAAGAACTGTACTATATATGTTATTTCTTATAAATGTTCTTGAAAGCAAATGAGGTTTATGGCATTGCTCTACCAATGAATACTTTTCCCATTTCCCAACGGTATCTTGGAGGAAATACAACTGTACTGCCACTTGGTCAATAATAACAGAAATATTAACAGTTTGGGACAAATGAACGTTATTTGACTGCTGGCGAGGATAATTGCAAAAAAACCCTTCATTTGATCTTTAATTAACTTACTACCAAACATTTCAATTTCTTGAACRATGTACACTACAATAAACATTACTAGCAATACGTATTCCATAAGTTTATTGAAATGAAGACATTAAACGTTTTATACGTTAAGCTTTTAAGTCTTAACTTACGTAAATTAAACACACAGCAAATGTGAAAGACTTCTACAGAATTAATTATTGAGTGATCAAAACAATAAAATAAAAACTTGGGGAAAAACTTCGAATAAGCGTTTACATGTTTACAAACCTTATAAATCCGTTCTTCGATGAGTTTGGTAACGCTTGAAGCATATCTACTGTTCTCTTCGGCTAACATAGTTAACACATTTATAAGTGGTTTTGAGTTAAAAGTTAGATCTTCCAAAGACGACGCGTATTCCTCAACAATAGACTGTTCTTCTACGTCCATTTCTGTAGGTAACAATTTGAAAAAGCGAGAGAAAARGGGGAAGAAAAAGAAGAATATTTCAGAGAAGACAGAAAACGAAATTCAAAATGGCGGACGTTGAGTATGACCTCGTTCCCATGTKACCGCATGGATTTCSCAAGGCATCATGGGTTTATTGTCGTGGGATACCTTTGGTGTTGCCCTCTGCACAGCTGAGTAACATTTCATTTTATTATTTTTTATCCCTTCTTTTCAGCTATGTAAATAGAAGTAAAATGGCTCATTCAAAATATAAACTATATCTCTATTTTGATCTGCATTTGTCCATTTTACAGCTGTTGAATTATAAAAGATAATATAGAAAAGCGGGATGAAACTTTTTTTAGGCATCATGACTAATTCTAGAGATCTTTGCTTTTTTGTTGAAAAATGAATGTTGAAGAGCGATATTCRGTGTCGTCGGATTCTCTTTGAACTTCCTTGATCTATCAAGACAAAGCCAAGCGCCGGCAGAAAAAAGTGATTCAAAAACGGCTATCTTTTTCCAAACCTATTATAAAAACCTGAAATAACAAGGGGAAAAAACGGTTTAAGAAAGAATCGAGTATAGTCCAATATYTCAAGAAATTTTCGTTTGAATTTTGATGAGAAGGTTGTTGCTATCAGCGCGCGTGGGRGATAAGTCAACAAATCCGAGATCTACTCATTTGTATAATCAACGTTGTTGTCTGTGTATTAAGTGTAAACATTTGCTGATAACTTCATCCAATCATAATGAGCTTTCCTGACTCTCTAATACTATTGCAACCAACAACAGYGCAAGTAGGCCTCTCGGACCTTATTACGTTATAAGATCTATTAGAGTTGCCGGGATTGCATCAAGTCGGGCATCAAGTTCCTGAGCCCTCGTCTCTTGAAAAAAGCTAGCAATTCTTGAGGTGAGGAATCATTGGTTATCAGAGATTCGCAAGTACTCTATATTCACACAAAATAGGAAATAGCTTTGAATGCCAAAATAAGTTAATAGCATCATCGCATTAAGAATCGTCAATGAATTCACCATGGAAAGATCAGTTTTCGATTGTCTGTAGACAGTTAGCGCTTCGCGTGCTAAGCTTCTCGTATATAGCCCGGATCAAGTTTTAGTTATCGTTATTATATCGTAGTTTGTTTAAGTAAGAAATGATGATGATAAAAAGTCCTATACAATGCATGATTTATGCTTCGMTTGTTCACTTTTCTTTCTTCTCACTTTTACTTTTCTTCACTTTTGATTAAAAYAAAAAAAAAGATAGTTTTAGAGATTGTTGAGCGGGATGAAAAAACAAGTGTATAGAGCTACCGATGAAAAGTGTTTACATTCCATAATTATTTGATAAGCTGTTTTACATTCAGTTTGGTTAATTTTTACACTTTTTCGAAACCTGGTCAATTAAAGTCCAAGGAGCCAAACAAAACATCTTTTTGGGACGTTTTTGGCCTTCTTGCTTGATCGGAGAATGCGGAACTTCGAAATAATCCTAATTTGGTTTCGAGTGCAGTTAGTACCTATTTTCTGAGGGTCAATGTCGCGGAGACCAGCRACAAACGATACGACTGAGTTTGGACTAATTGACCGCGCACTACGCCCTGATTCCCGATTAGTAGTGTACTGTTTTATGTCATTTTTGTTAAGCTTTCGTCGTTTCCTACCACACGGTCGTGACAATGATGACAAGATGAGTGTCATCAACAAAATGTTTCAGTTGATCAGTTCAGTCAATGCAGTGATTAAGTTTCGCTGCCAGCCTAAGCAGTAATGAAACTGCGATGCCACAGTGATCAAATATAGACGTCCTCGAAATTGTACAACTACGCTTGACTCTTGACGTGAATAGCTACGTACTGGTACGAGCCTAGACCTGCAACATCACACGCTTCCAGGGTCGCGTTGTGCTAATTGACGCACCGCACGCGACAGTCTGAGCGACTACAATTAGGTATCAACTTATTCTATTTGATGTCGTTTTAGTGTGCTGTGATGATGAAGAATACAACAATAGCATGCCTGGTTTTTCATCTCATTTTGTTTATTGCTTGCCTACTCGTGATTTCATCGGCTGGTRTCGAAACACGCGATAAGTGTGACCTCAACTTGGCAAACACAACTTGTCTCCAGATCTGCAACGGAAATAACACTTGCAATTCTACTTGTCCTACTTGGAGCAGTTTGAAGTAAGGATATTTCGTGTTTAATTGTACATATMTATATATATACCATGATGTTTCTCAATCTTGTGTCAAAATTTGTCATGCAATGTCAATAAATCAATGCAAACTGTCAATCAATCGTTGTAATCTATCTCGCTAATCAATTGATATAGTGATGAACTTGCGTATGGATTGGTAAACATTCTATCATTTGTTTACTTYATCGATTAATGCAATTTTAATTACGAAGAATTAAGCGATGTCAAAGTTTATGGAATGATCACCTCCTCCGCAGACGCCTCTGTTCCTCCCAAGGCCCCCGCTCGGCTGAAATGATACCAGAGCTGAGGGAGCCCAAAAGTGCAAAGTGAAGCATTGCTTGCGGATAAGGTTAATGAAGAAGTAGATGAATGAAATACTATTTTCTCTGTTAGCTTTCGCAGGAATTAAAAAGAAGAGCTGGGTCATTTTTCCATGACTCAAAGTGTTTAGTCTAAATGTAGTACACACTCKGAAGCTCTTGTTTTCTTTTGTTCTTTACCACCAAATATAGCAACTAAATAGTCCTTTTTAGTGCACAGTCAAATGAAAACGATTGATCTATTCTGAATCCATGGAGTTCATACTAAACATACGCCGTATTTCGACGGATTGCATTGATGCAATGTTTGCATGATTAATTTGATCATGATTGATTGCATGGATTGATTGATTAACGCGCATGTCGGCTGATTGATTAGGAACTGCGAGCAAATCTGTTCAAGCGATCTGGGTTGTCCAGGAAACTAYCAGTGCCACATTCCAGGAAACTGCAAGCAAGACTGTCAGGATGGCAATTGCATGTGCAGCGGCAAAAACTGCACACAAAAGTGTTCAACGTCCTATTGTAGAAACACGTATATGGAATGCCATTCGGATCACTGTCAGCAAAATTGCATCGGTGATTGCAGAATGCAATGCTCAGMAAATGCTACAGGAAGGTGCTACCAAAAATGCACTGGTAATTGCAAAGATATCAAGTGTGGCCACAAAAATTGTGTTCAAGACATGATTTGTCGAAATCCCCCMTGCACTTTACGATGTCCGAGTACTGTYGATGATTGCAAACAGACTTGCTCGTACGGTTTTTGCAAATTTRATTGCAACGCACGAACGTGTCGGGCTCACTGTAAAAGTGGGAATTGCAAGTATGATGGCACACCACGTGTAAATACTAAAATGTCATGTGACCGAGTCAATCTTGCRACCAATGAATGCTTCCAAGAAGGATGTGGTTGGCCTAACTGCTCGTTACACTGCGCAAACTCAGGAATGCCAGATTCACCAGAGATCTGTAGGCAAAATTGTCTTGATCCAATCTCTCTGTGCCCTAAATCGATGACTTGTAAATATGAAAAGGAGTGCATGCAAAACTGTTACGGGAAATGCCCGGAYATCGAGTGTWCATCCGATAAATGCAGCCAGATTTGTTCTGGAAAATGTAACGCATTAAACTGTAATACCACAACAACTTGCTTGCAGTTCTGTGAGGGGACGTGTGAGGTATTAGTCTGTTCATCACCGTCATGCATCCAATCTTGCAGYAGCGCTAATTGCGAAATTAATTGCAACGAAAAGGCAAAGCATTGCCACCAGACATGCAATACTAAGGGAGCGGACAAAGTGGGTTGCATAATGGAAAGTAAAGCTAACTCGACGGAACATCAAATATGCGGGAGTAATTGCACACTGATGAAATGCGGCGAAAATTCCGCAAACTGTACGCAAACGTGTACGCAAGGCTGTGAACGTATGGTGTGTAGCTCGTCAAACTGTGAGCAGGAGTGTACTCATGGTAATTGTACGTTAGAGTGTTCATCATCCGTGGAGTATTGTAAACAAACCTGTAAAACTGGCAATTGTACAGTGGTGTGTAATGCTCAGAAGTGCGAGCAAGATTGCGATGGACCAGGCTGTCCACCTAGACCTACTACAATCAGTAAGTCGATGCATCCATTTTTAATGCTATATTTTTGCTATGGGGGGAACTAGCGATAAACTAGTGTAGGCTGCGCCGTTGTTTCTAAAGAAGCAGTTTTGAAATAAGATGTTTCTGACGTTATGCGTCGGAGTCCTGCGTAGAACTTCAGTAAGTGGTTTCTCATATRCTTTTACGGTGTAAATTTATCTTATTTCACAATGTTTTAATATAGCTCATCGCCCCCTTCAGTTCACATTACCGTGGTCCCAGTATATCCTACTCTATATTGTTATGAGATAATCAATGGTATTAAGCTAACTTACTATTTCTAGGCTATACCACACCAACAACCTCGAATAATACAACAAGTGGAAACTTTACTACTCGTCCAACGAAGCCCGTCACATCAAATTTTACGACTCCCGTGCAACCTACCACAACTAACACTACCAGACCTACGGAACCAGTAACGTCTAACGTAACCAAGCCTACGGAACCAGTCACCTCTAATGTTACTAGTCCTACGGAACCAGTAACGTCTAACGTAACCAAGCCTACGGAACCAGTCACCTCTAATGTTACTAGTCCTACGGACCCGGTAACATCTAACGTAACCAAGCCTACGGAACCAGTCACCTCTAATGTTACTAGTCCTACGGACCCGGTAACATCTAACGTAACCAAGCCTACAGAACCAGTCACCTCTAATGTTACTAGTCCTACGAAACCAGTAACGTCTAACGTAACCAAGCCTACGGAACCAGTCACCTCTAATGTTACTAGTCCTACGTATCCGGCAACGTCTAACGTAACCAAGGCTACGGAACCAGTCACGTCTAGTGTTACTAGTCCTACGGAGCCAGTAACGCCTAACGTAACCGAGCCTACGGAACCAGTCACGTCTAATGTTACTAGTCCTACGGAACCAACCGCAAGACCAACTACTAAAGAAACGGGTATGTGCTAATGTAGTGTGGTCAAATGACTTCCATTTCCACTGAATTTACTAATTAATTTAGCATACATCAAGAGCTTTTTTCTCTCTTTTTTTGTTTCTTTTGTTATTTCTTATTTTCTTTTTTTTAAAAAAAAAAATCGCTCTTAGAAGATAACCTTAATATATTCTTTCTCAAACCAGAAATGACAAAAAAAAATCACGTGACAGAGACAACAGGATCATCGTGTGGAGGAGAAACAAGTGCACAAAAAAAAAAAGAGCAGCTAAGTAAGTATATGTTTTCGTTTCGCAGCAACACCTATATAGCAAAAAAAAAAATGTTCTTCTCCGTTATAACAACGTTACTTTTACAGCATTTTATTCTTCAAGAAAAAAAAAAGTATGATAGACGGTTACTAGTGATTATAGTTTAGTGAAAATATAAAGTTAGAAAAAAAAAACATAGATCAAGTAATAAGCTTTTGTCTAATGTCAGATGGTTTGTAGACTCTTAAAAAAAAATATACGCCTTAAAGGACCACGTGTATCCAAGAACCTTTGCGATCTGATAGTTAAAAAAAAATTTATACAAATGATCTCTTCTTACAATATGCTTTCTTAATGGTCCAAAATCAAAAAAAAAAATTTTCATATGCGAAAAAAAAAAATATTATAGTTCTCCTCCCTCACCGTTATAAAAAAAAATTTTCTTTCATTATGTTTTCGCAGTCCAGAGTAAAGACAGAGACCTGTTTCTAAAAAAAAACATCGTCATTGGACTACTAGCTTTGCTTGTCCTTCTCCTACTTATGGGATTTAAAAAAAAATTCAAACGGTACGTGCATGTGCTGTATGACATATGGCAATAATGAGTGTCAGAAAAAAAAAATGTTTTCTTTCATTGAAATAGACCTCTGAAGCTTTTATGTCATGTACCGTAAAAAAAAAACATTGTAGGATATGTTTGGGACAGAACATGACGGATTTATTTTGTTTTCTTTAAAAAAAAATCCCACAATGCATTGAAAATCAAGTAGTGACATAAAAGGTTCAGATGTTTAAAAAAAAAAATGTAATTTAGTTATTTCTCCCATTCGGCTTTCCACTAAAGCTCAAAACTTTGAAAAAAAAAATGATGTCATAATATCAAGCATAGTTTATATGTTGATTTTTCTGGGTGATTGAAAAAAAAATACTTGAATCCATTCATTTAATGTTTCATTCTTTTCAGAATTACAACTAGATAAAAAAAAAAATTTTTCTGAGTGATTTAATCATATGTAATTGAATATGATCCATTATTTATAAAAAAAAATTTTCAGAATTACGGCTAGGATGGGAGAACAACCTGATTCCTATAGCATATCAAAAAAAAAGATGCAAAACGTCTATGAAAACTCTGCACTTTGATTTTCAAGCGACAATATGAAAAAAAAACCAAAAATTTACTATAGCTTCAAGTGGTATGTCCTCTTACATATTTACCACTAAAAAAAAATCGTCGGATCGTCTAGAGTGTTGTAGATCCACGGGACGAAACTATTTTGAATAAAAAAAAAACCAGTTTCTGCGCTTGTTTTGAAAGCTAGAAGAACAACTGAAATCTCATTTAAAAAAAAACAAAAACATTTATTTTAACAAAACATGGTACATACTTTTTTCGCTTTTGATTAAAAAAAAAAAATGTAAACAATTCTCTTGTTTTCTTCAAAGTATCAATGTTATATTAATCGAAAAAAAAACAGACTTGTCCAAGTCGGAACTCTCTTTTACTCCCAGGAAATGGGTGAATATAAAAAAAAAAGGCAAGCCGGGAGATACGGAAAGAGAGAAAACCGGACTTTGCGAAAGTCTAAAAAAAAAATAGCGACCGTGTTATGTACTTGAATCGAATGATTGATTGGTCGATAACTGCAAAAAAAAAATAGATACGTTATTGACTCAGTACAGCTGGCATATCTCATGCTTCTGCTGAACAAAAAAAAATATAAATTGTCACATTGCGATTTATGCATTATTTTCAAAATTATACATACATAAAAAAAAACTTTTATTTACTGAGCTTATTTGAAAGCTCTCAATTTATATAAAAAAGATTCAAAAAAAAAAAAAAGAAAGTAAACATAAAATGGGTGAAAAAATAGATAAACAACCATGCTATAATATAATAGAAAAAAAAGAAGAAAAAAAGGGAAAAAAAAGGAAAATCACGATCATGCTGAAAAAAAAACCCATGACAATAAATCGAAAAAGGTTGGGACGATTCCCCCGAGACATTCTRTAAAAAAAAAGCGTCGAATCGATTTACATTCCGGTTAGAGATTTCGGCTCTTCCATGCTATCAAAAAAAAAGGTCCTAACTTCGCGCTAACTAAAAAGCCAGTGAGGGAGAAGCTATCCGGCCAAAAAAAAATGATGGATAACCCCTTGCACTAACTAGGCAACTATCGAAAGTATAATGTCAAAAAAAAAAAGTCTATTCGGYGAAAGTRYCAAKTGGTCTATTATTATGTAAATGAGCGTGGTCCAGTGGCGCACCGCGTTAAGGCGCTGGCATAGAATCCCAGTGGTCGGGAGTTCGGATTCTTACGGGACTGTTTTTTTCTTCTTCTCTTTTTTTCTGACATTTTCACGCAATATTGAGCTCTAAAAAAAAAACTTATGMAATAAAAACGAAATGACATAAATACTTAAATCACAAAGCCGCTTAAAAAAAAAGCTGTATGCGCCAGCGATTCTTTAGTTCAGCCGATATCGCTGATAAGTTTGCAAAAAAAAATTTATGCATTCAAAATAGCCAAACTTGATGGCAACAAGTATACCGTTTGAGAAAAAAAAAACAGAATCTCTATCAACTTTATGATCGTTATTTTGGTTAATCGGGTAATTCAGAAAAAAAAATGTAGTCAGTGTTTTCTCGACTACGTTTCGTTACCMTTCTAGTMAACTTCCGAAAAAAAAATTTTAATTCCCCTGCATGAATTGCCCGATTAACCAAAATAACGATACAAACACAGCACACTGAGAAAAGCTACCGATCATCAACTTTATGATCATTTTGGCATCAAACATCTATAATTAATTTTTTTGTAGCATGCACATTCAGGTAATCTGAACGCGGTGTATTGTGGCCTTAGCCCGTTGCAATAAACCTGCAAAACAAGATCCATGAAGATCCTATAAAAAGTTAATTCGTATAGTCAGTCTATGGTCTCATTCGATGCCACATTTCACCGAATTAATTCAAGCACACTGGACACTATTCGCAGAATTACAAAGCAGCTCGGCTTTCCCTTCTCCTTTATTTGCAATATCTGACAAAAAAAAAATATTTCCAGTTCCACTGGTACATGACTTAGCAAGGTGGAGCACCTCTTGAGAAAAAAAAACCTTGTCCCACATATTCACACTTGTTAAATGACCTTTGAAACTTTGAAATGCAAAAAAAAATCCCTTGTAGCTGTCTTGTTCTTGACCAATGATAAAAGCACCCTTGGTAATCAAAAAAAAAATGTTGTGGACGCCTTCACCTTTCTTGACTCCGTCAATGTAACCTACCCATTTTCCTTGGGTGTTCTCCCACGTTACGCAATAATGATGCCACTTTCCATCTTGGTATGGCGTAAAAAAAAATCTACGTGAGGAAAAAGAGGATATAAGAAAGAAGCAACACAAACAACGCAACAAAAAAAAATAGATAGGGGAAGTCAGTCGTCATCGAGTATCTCTAGCCAGYTCCTAATTTTAAAAAAAAAGACTTTCTCGCACTCACGACCACACATCACTCCTCACAGCTAGTTTTTGACTGACGGAGGAAAACCAGCGGATCTGCAGAAAAACACTCGGAGCAAGGAAGAGAACCAACCTAAAAAAAAAAATCACATATATTGTCCCAGATCGGGAATCGAACCGGGATCAGAGCGTTGATACACCAGTGTTTTCTGAAAAGGGAGATGTGAACGTTTAAAGAAAAGCGTAAAAGTTTGATATCCATTTTTAATATTAGATTCGTTAAGGGGGGAGAGACCTGGGAACGAGCCTCATAACGGCTAAAAAAAAAGACTACATCMAAAAGTACTTACGCAACTTGTGTTTCTGCAATAAAAATTCTCATCTTAGAGCTCCAGATATCAATGTAGATTTCATTACCATCGTCCTTCGATGCAGCGATTGCATAGCTAATCAAAGTCTGATATGACTTTATCACTGGTTTGGCCCAGACGGACGCTGTAAAGGCTTTCAAAGACTCAAACGGATTTTCAAGAAGGACTTTATCTTCAGTTCCTTCTCGAGGAAAAAAAAAAACCCCTATTTCTCCATGATCTGAAATTGGAGTTTTTGTCAAGTCATTAACTTAAAAAAAAAAATAGTGCAGTTTTTAAACGCATTTTGCTTGCAGCTAATGGGCTAAATATCTAAATATGATCAACTAGCTAGTTTTAATCCTGTCTCACGTGGTGATTCATGGCCGGTGAAACTATATGGACGTCCATAATGCAACCGTGTGTTTGTCGTCTCCTTGCAGCCGCGTGACCGTGAAAAAAAAAAGGGGGGGGGGGGGGGGGGGGGGGGGGGGGGGGGGGTAGGTATTACTGTTCCGAAAAAAAAAAGTAATGATTTTGAAAATGACGTCCTTTAAATGACGTGGCATTATCAGTATTAAAAAAAAAAAAGCCTCTTCTTGGATGCGAACACTGTGTGTGTGTAATTTCAGAGAGTGATCACAGAAAAGCAACAACGTTAACGAAATGTCAGCTGAAAAGCGTTATATAACATTATAAGAAAAAAAAAAACAAATAGAAGGAGGGTTGCCAGAATGATTGTAGATCAGATACTGATACCCTAAAAAAAAAASAAGACCTTTAGGATTCGTCACGTGATTGGCGTAATTCAGCTCACAGATTCCGTCAACGTGATGATAGTTAATGCTGTAGCAGTTGTTCAATGAGCACTCTTCAACGCAATAAGCACTGTTTAATGCTGGCAATGATTTGATAACACTGCCTTGAAGTTTGTAATTTCTTCTAGAG